CACTCCCATACTGTCCTTGGAGTTCGCTTCCCTGAAAGCTTTTGCTGGCTTTCCAACACCCATCGAGAAGTGGAAACTTTGCGCGAGCGAGACGAATGGTCCGATCCCGTGTAGAACTTTGGACAAACAGCGACTTCGGTCAGGCAAAACGCTTCGATTGAAGATGATGTGGTCTATCTGCGTTATGGAACTGTCCATCAGGTGAATGCCCAACGTCCCATACGAAGGTGAGGCGGGCTTTTTTGAACTGTGATTAACCATGGAATGGTGTGCGACATGATAAACTCAGACAGTCTTTCCCTGCTCATCCAATCCATTCCTTTGGAAGTACCGATGTAAGGTTCTTCAGCCGTTCGTCTCGGGCCCACCTTGGCGTTGAAGTCGTCCGACGGATGACCGTTGAAGTAAGGTAACTGATCTTCCCTTGTAGAAGCCTCTCCAATTCTATATATAAAGCTTCGTGTTCCCTCTCGTCGTAGCTCGATGTGTGGCGTAGGCGACGGAGATTGTCAAGAGCAGGAGTTGATCCACACATCTTCCTCACTCTCAAACGTCCGATTCGGGTCGTGAGGCTTTCCGTACGAATCGATGTTTATGGCCAAGTGGCGTGTTGACGACGGACACTCCACAACCCGCCACTGCCTCTGCTGTCCGGCAATGTTAGGAACATTTCTCTCCACTATCGAAAACGGCGTGTAGCGTGCGGTGCCTTCTGCGTCTCGGTCAGTCCGATAACGTCGTACTTGATCTTCCTGCCTGCATCCCCCAGATCTTTTCGAGTGAGCTTCGGATGGCACGCGTTCGGCGTTGAAGTACAGATGCGCCAGCTTAGTCTTCCTTCTCGTTTAGGCAGCCTATCCGGCCGCTGAGATTCTAGCATGGCCTCTCCCGAGCGGTCCTACCCAACCGCTGCCCGTATTGGGGGCGCTCTCTCCCCAGGTTCAGGGGAATGAGGCCCATCCATATTTGCTGTTTTCGGCATATTGAAAGGCACACGAGTAGCGTTGCCAGGCTCTGTCGTGCGGGCTAGGATAGACGCTCGCAGGTAGTTAGCCACTCTATCCTGGAGCGGAAAAGGGGCTAGTTTTTGGAAGGGCGGCCCCGAACGCTCCCATGTACTTCCTAGTCACTTGTATGCAAGCAGCTTCTGGCTGTGTCCGACATGCAGGATACCAACAGCACACACACAGAGCGCACCACACACGCAAGCATGCATGGATGCGCCTGAGTGGAGACAGCTGGTATGAATCAACACAGCGCTACAGAAACAGGAAAATCCCCCCCCCCTGAGAAAGAAAAGAAGAAACCATCCCCTGAATCCACCTGCGTCTCAGGGCAAGTACATGGTGGCTTTTGGTCCGCGACTTACCCCCTATCCACCACTTGGGGTCGCGCCACGTAGCCTCGCCACCAACCGGCTCGAGATCTCACAGTGAGAGAGGACCAGTGAAAGAGATTCGCGGCATCCCAACGCGTGGATATTCAAAGGCAGCGGCAGGAAGGAAGAAAAGGAATAGCAAAAGGCTGCTATAGCAAAGGCGCTTAGGTTGCTGACGCTTGTTGTTAAGGGGGTAATCCCATGAGCGGAGAGATTCAACCTGTTATTGTGCTTGGGATTAAGCCTGAGGGGAAGAGTTTCTCGTAGAGGATGTGAGCAATTCCTGAGCGTATTTCCCTTCTCATGAGCTTAATTCTAGTGTCACCTTTCCTTTGCCCTGTTTTGAAAGTTCTACCCAAGGACAGGAGCGCCGCAATTAGCAAAGATATAAAGTTGACAACCAATAACATCTCATTAGATGACTCCATTTTTAGTGCTTCTTATTCATATTTATAATATGATAATAGTAACATTTTTATGAAGTTTTTCTCTTTCATCTACTTTCGCTGTAACCTTCTCGCTGACACCGCTACATTTCACCGATCCCCGCGAGTGGGAAGTTTCTTTCAAGGCAGAACCTTGTGGATTCTATCCGCGATCGCACATGCTCTGACGTGTTGAATTCCACCGCAGAAGCCTGCGAAGACTTGCCTCGTCCAGATCGCCGCGCAGCCCGCCGCGCGACTCGCCGCGTGCAACCCCGGACGCACCAAAAGTCCGTCGCCCGGGGGAGTGTCAGGCCTCATGTACTTGCCCTGAAACGCAGGTGGATTCAAGGGATGGACTCACTGTTTCTGCTGTGTGGTGCTGATTCATACTAGCTGTCTTCACTCAGGCGTATCCATGCATGCTTGCGTGTGTGTGCGGTTGGTATCCTGCATGTCGGCACAGCCAGAAGCTTGCATTCAAGTGACTAGGAAGTACATGGGAGGCGATTCGGGGCCGCCTCCAAAAACTAAGCCCCTTGTTCCGCTCCAGATTAGCGTGGCTAACTACCTGGAGGTCTATCCTAGCCCACATGATAAAGCCTGGCAAGCTACTCGTGTGCCTTAAATATGCCGAAAATAGCCATATGAATACGCCTCATTTCTCTGAACCTGAGGAAGCCCCCAATACGGCAGCGTTGGGTAGGACCGCTCGAAAGGGGCTGCTATTTA